GTCCTGCCTGCCTCTTTTGACCAGCGAGGTCTTCCCAGCAGGCATTATAGAACTACCTGCGTTCTCAATGGGAGTCATTTTGCAGTGGTGTCAACAGTGGTTTCTCAATTTCCCAAATGTGTCCATGGGTCCTGAAAGACTGGGGACACATGCTGTAAACTCTTAGGAGTAGGTAGCATGTGTTCCTCCAGATGTTTTGGCCTACAGCTCCTTCCTTCCATCACCGTTGGCTTTGTTAGCTAGAACTGATGCAGTTGTAGGCCAAAATGCATGGAAGACCACAAGCTGCCCACCTTTAGCTTTGGAGTTTGACAGGGCTAGTTGTGCTTTCTGCCCTGGCTCCCTTTTTTGTGTGTTTGGAAAAAAGGGAAACTTTCCTTGCTTCCTGGTTGGAGTTGAACATGTTAGACTGTGTCAGACCGCTTTTAGTTTTTCCTATATTTCATTGATGAATTAACACTTAGACATATGTAGGGAGTCCCCTATTACAACCGCACCCCTGCCAGCTGTGTGCGGCAACTGGTATTTGTCTGTGGTTGCAAACCTGTTAACTACACAACTACCAAGGTCAGCATTAGAATAAATGGGGGCCTGTAATGAATGTGTTCTCCTGTGTTTCTCCAGCCAATACATCTGCAAAAGCTATTACATCTTTCTGCCCCACACATCAGAGTGTAAGCCACTTTGGACCCATCAACAGCCAGAAAAGAACCACCAAACTCTGGTTCAGTTTACAGAAACTTCCTTGCACATTTGCCTACAGACAGCAACCACATCCTCACTGTTTACAAGTTTGGATTGCTTAACTTAAACAAGTGCTTTAGCAACTATCTTTATCATCACTGTAAACTGTAAACCTCATTGGCCACTTGCAGTTACAAAAGCGGGTGGAATTGTAGACAGACACAAAAATAGCAAAGTGGGGTGGATGGTTCTGTTGCTGTTCCAAACCATCCAGGGCTAGCACAGGCCAAGGGGCACACATGCCCGCCATCCTCATGCCACGCCTTGATGCGAGGGCAGCCTGTGGCTCTGTTACTGTTGCTGCAGAGTTGGGCATCCCAGCACATAGGAACTTGATCTGCTTTTCCAATTCTCTGAATTCTAAATGTCTGTAGCCGTTGGTTGGTGATTTCAGCTTGCTTTTTCTTCCCCAAATGGAATCTTACATCTAACTCATGTAGCCATTCGCATGTCACAACAACCCAGGTTGTGTGTGTGTGTGTGTGTGTGTTTTAAACCCTGGCTTGGGTGGATGTACAGGCTGGCTAGTGCATGCTCCTTGATTGCTCTTTCTGTGAATAGGAGAAGCTAGACAACCTGGGATGCTCTGGCCCAGGGTTGCTTCTTGAGATGCAGCTCAGGAGTTCTGGCTTGACTCTTTCCTGACAAGTCAGAGAAATAATCCACAGTTGCTGGGCTGGAGCACACACATGTAACAAGATACTATCAGTGTGACTAATGGGGACTGTTGCTACAACTGGCTTTCCTAATGAGTACTCCTTATTTGCCAAACTCTTCTCTTAATTCTTGTAGAGATTCCACATATGATATTATTGGTGATAAGGGAGTGGAACAAGGGGCTATGTTTTTCCTTAGTCCTGTTCCCGCCTTTGAGGAGCCCAAAGGAACAATGTCTACTCTCCATCTACTTGAGGAAGATGCAGCTTTGCAGCTGACTGTCTCTCTCTTCCTCCGCCTGTCCCATCTGCTAAGTAACTGGAGGGATTGGCCTTAGAACATGGTTTTGTTAGTGAAACTGCCTCTTGGACTAGCTGGAGCAATCTTTTTCCTTTTTTTTTTTTTTTTTTTGGCTCAAAGAACAGCCACACCATTAAGACTTTCTAGGGTGAATACAAAAACATCTTGAGAATTGTCTCCCTGACTTTTGCACATGGATTTGGTGGTGGAAGCTATGTGATTCTTTTATGCAGAAATGATTAGTTGCTCTTTCTTTTGGCTATTTGGTGCCTGTCCCATTCAGGACTCCCCACTATAATAACTCACGACGCATATATCCACAACAGCCACACAGAGTTTTGCAGTGTTATACCCACGTCATGATTTTCTCAAAGAAACTGGAAATAGAAGCATAGAAACAGAGCGAGTCAGAAGGGGTCTCCCGGGCCATCTAGTCTGACCCCCGGCTTCAGCCATCTCCGCTCATGACATGCCCACCATGTGCATGTCTAGCCTATCCTTGAACACCCTCACCATTCAAGGATAGGTAGGTAGTATGCTGAGAATTTTCCTTGATGTTCAGGCAGACATACCCTTTAAGTCTGCAGTGTAAATATACACAAAGAGGAGCTCACAATAATTTGGAAATTTGGGTTGAATTTTTAGGGGCAAAGAAGACCAGGTTTGGAGGAAAAAATGCAGGTGCAGCCATCTAGTATAAAAGCAACCACAGTCACTGAGAGTGTAAACACTAGCTCTGAGGTGGTTCCCTTATGATACAAGCTCAATATTGCTGCAATATTTGGCGTAACATCATGTTCTATCACATTGTACTGGCATATCTGCTGATGTGTATTTTTATTTATTTATTACGTCTATATCCCACCTTTTCTCCTAAAGCTCAGATTGTGTAAAAGGTTATTTAATTTTTAAATCCCCATACAGTCTGTGAGAGAGGTTAGGCCAAGAGAGTGACAACCTCAAGGTCATCTAGAGAATTTCGTAGATAAATGGGGATTAGAGCCAGGGACTCACTGATCTAAGTCCAGCAAAGCTGGAAATTCAATACCTCAGAAGGGGGTGTGGTAGGCTGTTTGGAGCACCCTCTTGAGGAGCAGACTGTACTGTTCTGCTTGGACTTCATGATTAGACATCACCTGACTTCTATAATGTAAAGAGCTTTGATCTGTATGATGCATTAGTATTCGTTTATGCATGTGTATCTTGGATTTCTTTAGAATAATCTCCTCTCTGATATGTTGGACACTGATGGTCCTGTCTAAATGTAGTTGTACATTGGTAATGTTTTGGTTTATAATTTGCTCTAAACGGCTTCAGGAAATTAGAAGCAGTTAAATATTCTAAAATAAAGAAATTTTTAACAATCATGTACACAGGAATTGTCAATGGTTGACCCAATTTTGAATTCATTTAATAAGGAAATAAAGGCTGTGCTTATAGCATGAAACTGAATTTTGTTTGTAGGAGAGCCACTGTAAAATGAATGCTAATCAAGTAAAGTCTTGATAAAAGTTCATATACTGTATTAAATAGATTCCAAGTACCGCTTAGTTTGGGGAAAGGACTTTACAGAGCAACCTTACAAAATACTTTAAGTGTATCTTACCTCTGCAAGTGAAAGTGCAAATACTTTATTTTCAGGTTCTATTTTAAAAACAACAAAAAGGCAGAGTTTGGCTACAGTCTTTGTTCATTTTGCTACCCAGATGCATATAGCATTGCCATAAACCTTGATTAAAGCAGATAGTTTTTCTTTTTGAAGCCAGATCAATACCCTAGATTCTCCTAGCAGAAAAACTATTATTTCAGAATATGGCTGATGCAATTTTTACCATCTGTTTAGATATGGACAACTTCACGTTTAGCCAAATGAAGCAACTCAAAATAACGAGCAGCATTGCCAAGAATGAATACTTAATAGCACTACTTGAGTACCAAATGGCTTCTTGCACAAAGAATAATATTTAGATTTTAACTCCTGCCTCCCTGCTTCTGTTTCAGTAAATGCCAGCAATCTCATAATGGAGAGGGCCACAATTTCCCCCAGACTTAGTGTAGCTAGAACTTGAACCTGGTGTGTGCTGCCACCACAGCAGTTGCTTCTATGCTGGTCTGGATATGTATAACTACATGTGCCCCATGCGCAGGGGAGAGATTCCCAGTATGTTAACACCTTCCCGGGCCAGGGCAAATGTTGGTTTCATTGGCTGTAAACCTTCCAGGGAAGTCACAACTTAAGAATTGTTGTGGAAGTAGCAACAAGGTGGCTCACATGTAGCAGTAACTTAAGACTTTGCTCTACAACATTTCGCTGCGGCTGTTGCTGCTGCTGCTAAGAGCTATATTTTGGGCAGAAGGCTCTAATGTCCTTGCCCTTTCCCTGCCCCCTTCTGTTCTCTTCCATGTTCTTGTCATGTGTCCCTTCGTTGCGCACTCCAGTTGCCTGTGTCATTGTTTGGTGAAGAATGGACAGCGAGGCAGCTTGTAGAGTTCTATCTTCATAGAGTTCTTACTATCCAGCCTGGCTGCCCATTCCTGGTGGGAGTGGATTAAAGAGCGCTTTGTGTCTTGGATACTTTGGCTGAGGGACAATGGTAAAAGGGAGAGGCTCTGCCAACCAGGCAGCAGTGTTTTGATGAAAGCTGCCTTAGATCAAGTTAGACCATTGTCTTCTGAGCAGTTGCCATCTTTGATACGAAGCAGTTTTCTCTGGCTTTCCCTCCCAATTTTCTATGAGGGTAGGTGCCAGGAATTGAACTTGATGCAGTTCCAGTGAGTTGTGGCCTCATCTTTATGATCTGTGGATTGGCTTATGTGAGAGAACAGTTTTTCCTTCTGTGTGAGTGTGGACATGCAGAGCCAGGCTTGCCCTATAGGGTGTACAGCAAGTTTATAAATAGCCACTTGCTTGGTTGCCTGTCATGCGTAAGAAGATCCTCCAAGCCACTGGGCATGGAAACTTCCTTGTAAATTGAAAGAATGTTCTCTTTCAGACAGGTGGTGTCATTCCACAAGTGACTTGTACAAGTATGTGTGGGAAGATTGGGTGTGCTCCTAACATTTTCTGTGGGCTTGTAACTAATATGGCCTTTACACAAGCCTGTCTTTTGCACAATAAGGAGAGCTTCTTAGGACCTACTGGGCTCCCAGTGCTCTTGCAGTGTACTGGCTGGCAGCTCTTTCTCTCTTTGCTTCCCCACCAGCTTTCCTCCATCTTCAAATTGTTTGCCATGATAACAGTTTGTTGCGACATGTCCTTCCCATGCAGTTTTTCTCACAGTCTTGCTTTTGCACTGCAGGTACTGCGAAGCAGTAGATGTAATTTTGAAGAAAATCTGAAGGCACAAATGGCTCTAGCTGGCTGCCCAGACTCCTTTTTGCACCATCCTTACCGGATAGTAAGTTATAACTTAAATATATATTTAACATATATGGAATTAAGCTACGGTTAAAGTCAAGTCTGTTGACTGCAATCAGTACTTGGTTGATGTTTAGGTAATGCTTGTAGCTTGGCAAATGGTTCATGTGAGCACTCAATTGGGTGGAAAGTCAAATTAATAATACTTCATAGCTGATGCTTTAGCTAATCTATTATCCACCCTTGCATTTTCTAATATAAATACTGAGATATGCGCTAGCTAGCTAGTGTAGCCTAGTGGCTGAGGTTGATCTGTAAACCAGGTAGGGTAGTAGAAGGGACATGGGGAATTACAGACCAGTTAGCCTTAAGTCCATTGCAGGAAAAACAATGGAAAGGCTCATAACAGAGAGAGATCTAGTGTTGCTAGATAGGGAAGGGAGGCTGACAGCCACACAACACGGCTTCCGCAATAACAGGTCCTGCCAGACAAACCTTGTGGAATTCTATGACAAGGTTTCAAGATGGCTAGATGGAGGGGATGCAGTGGATGTGGTATACCTGGATTTCAGCAAGGCCATTGACAAAGTGCCCCATGATATCCTGGTGGAGAAACTGAGGAATTTTGGGATACACCAGAGCACTGTCTAGTGGATTAGGGCATGGTTGACTGACTGAAAGCAGAAGGTAACCATTAGCGGGGATTCATCAGGATGGTGGCCAGTGACTGCAGGCTAAGCATGAGTCAGCAGTGTGATGTGGTGGTCAAGAGGGCAAACACCACCCTTGGTTGCATAGCCAGAAGTGTGGCTTCTAGATCGAGAGAGGTATCACTACCACTCTATAAAACTCTGGTGTGCCTGCAACTGGAGTATTGTGCTCAGTTTGGGGCCGCTCATTACAGAAAGAATATAGCCAGGTTAGGGTCAGTGCAGCGTAGGGCCACAAGGTTGGTGGCTGGTTTGCAGGGGATGCCATATGAGGTGAGACAGAGGGAACTGGGTGTCTTCAGCCTGGAGAAGAGGAGACTCAGGGGGTATGTTGGCGACATACAGGTGTGTGAGGGGATGTCACATGGAGATGGGCAGAGACCTGTTCTCCCCTGCAGAGGAAGGCAGGATGTGCTCCAATGGAGCAAAGCTCAGGGAACCAAGGTTCCATTTAGATGCCAGGAAGCACTTCCTGACAGTCAGGACCCCGAGGGTGTGGAATGGGCTTCCACGAGAGGTCACTGAGGCCCCATCGGTGCGGGTGTTCAAGGATAGGCTGGACATGCACATGGTGGGCATGTTGTGAGCGGAGCCGGCTGGTGCTGGAGGTCAGACTAGATGGCCCGGGAGGCCCCTTCTCTTGCTCTGTTTCTGTGTTTCTAAGTCCGGTATTCTATGAACTCAGTAGGTAGTCAGTTCGGCCATGGAGGGAGTTGATGGCTCAAATTTGGGAGAGTGGGGCTGGCTGCATGGTACTGGCACCTACCCTTTGCGAATGAGCCATGGTGAGTCTGAGTCTGCTCCCACTCCCCTTCCTTCCTCTGTCCTGCTCTTCCCCGTTCACCTACCAGTGAAGGAGATCAGAAGAGTCAATTTCATGTTTTAAACAAATTCCAGTTCCCTGTGTTGTCTGAGCTGGGGAGCTGGTTTGTTTTAAAACCGCTTGATTTCAGATCCTAGCTTATTCTCATGAATTTGAGTCAACCTGTAATTTATTTGTGATCCACAAATAGTAAAACAGCATGAAACAAATAGAAGTTGGTTTTTGTAAAATATCTATAAACTACAACAGTTGATAAAATGACTTACTATAAAAGCACCACTATGCTAATTTTTACTTTTGGTGTTTTCAATTTGTTCTGTAATTAAAATAGTGGAGCCCTTGAGTAAAATGGTTGAAGAACAACCAGCAAAAGTTGCCTAAGGGTGCAATCCCATGACTGTTCAGACAGAACAAAAGCCCTGTAATTCCCAGCATGCCCGGTCAGCCAATGCACCGCTGACTGAGCATACATAGGATTGTACCCTAAGAATATATTAGAATATTATGTGTATTAGAATTCCTCTAGCCCTGTCCTACAAAGTACAGTTCTTTGTTGTGGCCTCTGTGCATCACACATATGGATGCTGCCCCTGCGCAGTGCCTGTAGCCAGGAAGATTCAAAAGTTTAACGGTTTTGGCGAGAACTCTGCACCCGCCCCCCACAGTATAAGAAGGCAGAGTGCCCACCATTTCCCCAGTCTTCTTGTGACCGCTGTTTGCTGTACCTCGAGCCTTTTGTCTCTTACTGTAGCTATACTGTTGTATCTAAAACCTTTTTACTGTTTATTCCTCTCTACTTAGTTCTCTTGTTAAGATCTCCAACTTACATTATCCTCCCCATTAGAAGTTCTTTCTAAATCCCTGTTTTTCCCTTTCCCTCATATATAAAATCTTCTATCGTCTGTTCTTCTCTTGCTTTGCTAACTTCGCCTTTCTCTCAATGGCTCAGCATGCAGCCTTCCGCAAGTGTTCTCAGTGTGGGACCAAGATGTCCCCCACTGATCCTCACAATCTGTGCCTTCTCTGTCTCAGAGAACTGATAAGTGTGGCCATTGTCCCTTTGGCCCTGTCCTTGCTGGATTGTCAGGAGGTGACTCTGCCGGGATCAATTTCAGATGGAGAGATCCGGGACTCTCCCCAAATGGCCCATCCAATGGCACTCTCGCCGACTCTGCAGCCTTTGCCTGAGGTCTCCCCGAGGGCCCCACCTCAGGTACGACAGCAGCAGCGTGCTTCTGGCCGTTCGTCCGGAGACTGGGTACAAATGCCCTATGGAACCTCCTCCCATTGTGAGCCCTGGGATGATTATGCACCCTACGAATATTATCCATCTGTCCATCATCACACCTTGTCTCTGGTCCCAAGGGACACTCCCTCAACGTCTGCAGTGGTCCAGTCCAGGCGCCCTTCCTCACCGTCCAACTCCTCCAGCTCTCTGCTCCACTACGATACGGATTTAGAGGATTCGGATGCAGCGTCATCTTCACCAGACATGGTGATTATTACACAAAGTCCCAACTCACCTGAGGAGTCGTAGTCGACGTCGGGGAACTGATGGCAAGATTGGTGAGGTCACTGGAGATCGAGGCCCAGCACTGCTTCGATCCCAGTACTGACAATGTGTACAACATGGTTAAAAAGGAACAGTCTGCTGCCATCATCTTGCCTCTAATAACAACCCTATGTCAAGCTATGATGGAGTCATGGCAGTTCCCCAACCAACTGCAACCTACTTCACGACGGTACAAAGCCATGTACAGAGTTCGGGAGCAGGATATCCCATTCCTCCTTTGTCATCCTAAACTGAACTCTATCGTAGTGGAGTTGTCTCAGGGCCGTGAGACAAGGGAACGCTCCACTCCTCGGAACAAGGAAGGGCGAAAAGTCAACATGATGGCTCACCATATCTGCACTGCCCCAGGTCTCGATCTCCATATTTCCAGCTATGAGGCAATGCTGGCACGGTATCAGTACTTTCTGATGCAAAAGTTGGAAAACATCACAGCGTTGCTTCCGGAGCAGCAGAGGGACCTGGCATGCATCTTTACCCAAGAGGCGATGCAGGTGGCTATACAACAGCTCTCGACGGCGAGACATGTTGACTGCAACTCGAGGGCCCTCATTGGTGCTGTAGCCCTCCGTCGCCACACCTGGCTTTGGAACTGCAGTTTCCCGGATGAGACCAAGTGTCGGATTGAGAACATGCCCTTCGACAGCTCCGGGCTGTTCAATGCGAGGATGGACCACAAGCTGAAGAATATTCATGAGGCACTGAAGAATATTCATGAGGCTCGTGTTACTGCTTGTCACATGGAGGTTCCAGCACAATCCAACCATCCCCTCAATTCTCTGGCCGGCAGCAGCCCTAGACTCACCAACAGCACAGCAGTAAACAACCAACTCAGCGCTACCAGCAGAGTCGTTGCCGCCCAGACTCCGACCAGCAGCAACGTTGACAGGCCAAGCAAACCTCTCCTCTTCTCCCAAATCTGCCTTCCTCTGTTCCTTTTGGGGATCGACATCTGATCAGTGGGTTTTGTCCATTGTGGAGCACGGATATAAGATCAAGTTTGATACTGTACCCCTGTCGGGACCGATCCGATATACATCTCCGTCATCGGTTCTCAAAGACGAAGTTAAACAGCTTCTTCATAAAGGAGTAATGTGACAACTCATGTGCTCTGAGGGGTTCCATGGATTCTACTCAAGACATTTTATGGTCCCGAAACGGGACGGTGGTCTTTGCCCGATACTGGACCTACATGGCATCAAAAAGTTCATCAAAACTAAAAAGTTCTGAATGACCACCCTTCAAAATATTCTCCAGTTGCTCAAGAGAGAGGATTGGTTTGCTTCTCTAGACTTAACGGATGCTTACTTCCATATTAGCATCCATCCGTTCCACAGACAACTTCTTCGGTTTACAGTTGGTTCCAACTTTTTTGAGTACAATGTTTTGCCGTTCGGACTGGCTACCACACCAAGGGTCTTCACTAAATGTATGGCCCCTGTTTGCGCTCATCTATGACTTCAGGGGATCCACGTTTACCCTTACCTTGACGATTGGTTGATCATCTCCTCTTCTAGAGAAGACCTCCTATCAGTGATCCATACTACATGCTCCCTCCTTGCCAGTCTGGGACTTTGTATTAATCATATAAAATCCTGCCTTGTTCCTTCACAGATCATCAACTTCATCAGAGACTGTCTCGATTCCTTGTGTGCAAGAGTCTTCCTTCCTCAAGATCATCAGGAGAAACTTCGTTCATCCATTTGCCAAATTCACATGGACAGAACTGTTCCTGCTCTGTTGATACAGAAGCTGCTCTGACACATGGCTTCCACAGTCTCTGTGGTCCCCAGCGCCAGGGTACGGATGAGGCCTCTCCAACTGTTGTTCAGTCGCCTCTTCCACCCACAGCAAGACTCGCCACACTGTCCCCTTCATCTATTTACTTCCGTCCTTCGGACTCTCTCCTGGTTGATGGTAAAGGACAATTTATCTGT